TATTACTTTGATGTAAAGCAAGGAATTCTTCTTATAGAGATTGCGAGTCAATGCTGAAGCGCAGACAGTGGCTCTTGTTTTCGTTTCTATAATTCCAGAAGTTTGTAGATTTTGGAATTTGGTATCAAGTGAATGTGAATTTTGTACCAAATTAGTCTTGATTTGGTAAACGATTCCTCGGACTTATTAATGGGTTTATTGGCTATCTTACTCTGTGAACGATAAATGTCAATAAATTCTTATTTGTTGGTTGAAATTTCAGCGAGTTGGAACTGCAAGACTAAAGCCTGGTATGTCTAGACATGTTTCTGGATTGAATAGGGAGAGGAGATAAAAATGTTTTGATTACCTTTTTTTTTAAATCTTAAATAATGAATGCTGTGATTACCTTTTTTTTTTTAAATCTTAAATAATGAATGCTGTGACTCAGTTTCCCTTAGATTAAGCATGGATATAAAAATTATAGTGCAGGCAATGTATTTGTCACAACTAAATTTACTGGTTAGAAGAGCCAAATGATTCTAAGGCTTTATAATGCTCCGGAAATGCGACTCAAAATTTTTTTTCTCTTCTCATTGTTATCAAACTGTTTCTGGTTTATACATTTTCCTATTAAGTGATTGCTTGGTGGTTTTCTGTTTACTGATTGCCTTGTGAAGTGGTTCATAAATGGTGTCTATGTTGACCTAAATACTTAGTTGATCTTCTATGCTATCCATAACTAAAAATTACTTCTTGAAATATAAGCGATATATTTATTTTACGTCAGAAGGTAGTATGAGGATAGGTTGTAATTTAAGTGTCTACTGATATAATTTAATTATTTTTACTGCACCTCTATAGTCAGGTCGACTTTGTTTGCTTATTCTGCAAGTTTCTGCCTGAGCCTGGATATTAGTGCAGTTATCATCCTTGGTCTTACTTTGAGTGCATGATGGGTTTTTTTGTTGAATGTCCTTGTTTAGGATTTACAGAGTTACTTTGCTTGGGTTACCCTTTTGTCATTCTCATGTCTTACTCCTATCCTATTATTTTTTATTTCTTTCTATGCTCTCTCTTTTTGCAGAAAACTAAGACATGAATGTCTAGCACTTTTTTGAATAAAACCATTTTGTGGTATGTGCAGGCACATTTCATCGGATATATATGGGACTTTTGTTATATTCTCGGTTAAACTCACTCTGTCCATGCAGATTATTGGGTTTTTTGTGAGGTTATCTTCTTCATTCTTATGGATTCAGATGTATAGACTTGGTGTTTCTTATTTAGAGACTTCAGTTCCTCGAGAAGCAGATGCTGATTTGAGAAACAGTTTCCTCAATCCGGCAACCCCTTCTATAGATAGACATCCTTCTGGCTCTGATGATGTTTTAGGAGGCTCCATCTATGATCCTGCTTATTATTCATCTTTATTTGAAGATTGTAAAGATGATGCACATTTACATGGGGTAAGTTATCCTTCGCTCACTTGTGTTCTGTCAATATACTATTCGTGCTTCCCTTTTAGCTTCTAGGTGCATAATTCTTTGGATGTGATCTATTCTTCCAGCTGCTTCAAGATGGTCTGAGAATGCCATTTATGAAAAGACTTAGTTTGTCTTAGTTTTGACTCTGTGGACTTGGTATCTTACAGAAGACATTTATCGTTATTAATTAGATAATTCTTGAAACTCAGAAAAGTAACTACTTACTATGCACAAGCTGTAGTATTAGCTCACATGAAAAAGAATTATGAAGCACCGGGAGACAACTTCCTGATTGGTATGAAGTTCATAGAAGTGATAAGTTAAGGGAGACAGTTTTGATATTCCGGACAATATGGCATCAACTTCCGCATGATGCTGATGCAGCAATTGTTTGAGAGAATTCTCTTTGCTCTTGAGCTGCATATTTTGAGACATTTGGAGGTCATTTGAGTTCTTTTTTTCTTCTGGTCTTTTTTGGGTTAATTTTTTAGATAATGTATGTGTCAAAGGAGATGCAAACTAAAGGATTGGAAAAAAGTATAGAACTTTCTGCTGTATTCTTGATGAAGCTAAATAAAGAGGAGAAGATGAAGCAGCCAACTATTAGCAAGACAATCACCTATGCTATGGGAATCTTGGGTTAGTTTGGATGAATTTTTGGGGGTGTTTTTGTGAAATTTCTAATGTAGCACCTTTATTGGTAAATGCATCTGCAAGTTGACGTGGCATAAATATTACAAACTTCTAGCAGTTTGTTGGATGCACCATGTGTGCAACTTCTACATATACTATTTTCATTGAGTCATGGTTCTCATATCTTTATGTAGGGTGGTCAAAACCATGGCTTAATCATGGAGTCTACTGCTACTGCTGAGACTTCTCAACTGAAGCAATGCTTGAACAAAACTCTCCCCAACAAAGATGTAAGTTGTCAGTGGAACCAATGGTCTTCTAGGTGGTCTGATTGATTTTAACCTGTGAGATTTGTGGATATTCTCTCTAACCTTCACATGAATTAGGTAGAGAATTTAGTGTCACTGGTATGTGATTACACGATGTGATACACTTAGTAGAAAATTTGCAGGCATAAATGTAATGGAGTCAATTTTTGGCGTCTTAATATACAAATTTGCAGGCAAAAATGTAAAGGTCTCATTTTTTGGCATCTTTGTGTCTGTGTCCTCTTATTTTGAACAGATTGAATTATTTAGTGAGAGTAAGAGGTTTTCTCAACTGCTGCTGATTTTACAGAACTGATTCTTGAAAATCCAATTTCTCATAATAACTCTCGTGTTCTTGTTTGCTGTTAAACTAGGAATGCATGAATTTTATATAAAAAAAAGGCAAAATCTGATTTTGACTAATTAATGACCAAATTACCCTTATATCTGGCATACATGGGCTTGTGTGCTAATTAAACAATCTTTAGATGTAGCTAATTGCTTTACTCATGGTAGAGGGAAGAGAAGCCTACACATTTGAAAGTGGGATGACAATAGATGAAGAGGGAAAGGCATATGGCAAAATATGTTTTCTGGCCTTTACGTGGTAATTATCTTAAGAGGCACAAAAAGTAGCCCATAGTCGGAATACAAAAGCAACATAAGATCTGCTTCTAATCAGCTTTTTTTGGACCCAAAAAAATACATTTAAAATATGGAAAGCATTTCACAACACAATAAAATATCTTTTCAAAATGATAAGATAAATTTAGCTCTGCAAAGTCAATTTGGAATAAGGCCTAATACTCCCATATGCAACCTATAGGGTATGAATAGGTTTTGTAAGGGAAGAGTTTTGCAAGGGAACAGTGACAATGTATTTGGTGAACCCAAAACAATCAGGCCATATTGTATTTGAAGGGTTCTTTTTCCAGGCATGGGAAATCCCAGGACATATGGGGTGATAGGAATTAGAATCTTAGGATTTTAGTTTCAACTTTTCTTCTTTAAAGAAAATGTTGTATGAGATTTTCAAAAGCAAATTGAAAAATATGTTAGAAACTGATAGTAAGAACGTGGATCTTAATAATTAACAACTTTTGGTGATTTTGAAGCCTCGCATATTGAAAGCTTTAGCATTCCAAGAACTTTCAGAGCTTAGAAAATTGATGCCAAAAGGCATTGGAATTTTAAAAGTCCTAGAAATTTTCTATTTCTTCCATCAATTGCTGTGTGATGAAGACAAAATGAAATAATGCAAATTTTTTCTTTACGAGTAGAAAAAAGAAATTAAGTGCATCAGGAATCCTGGTGAATAGTAGTATTGTTTCTTTATTGAAGTCTACATTTGAACAAAATAAATCTGTAAGCTTTATCACCAATTCAAGAATACATCAAACGCTTAGTATGGCAATAAGCAAATGAATGAGTTGGTGCTCTCTGCTACCAGTTTGTGGACAGTTGTTTTAGAAAACAACACTCAGAGTAAAGGCCTCTACAACTATTGTCACCGCAGCCCCCGGCATAATAGTTACTCTAAGCTTGGTTGATTTTTAATTGGAATGCATTGGTAGTCTTCGACTCTGTGTGTGTGTGAAGACCATGGAGTGAAGGTAGAACCGCACCCTTCAGGATGTCAATTTTCTTCTGCTTCGCCACCATTACTGTTTGTGTGGGTTATAGATACATGTGTGACAGGGGAGTTCCATTGCCAATGGGTAAAGGATCATCTCTGACATTGATGCTCTGCCATTTGCTTTCACTAAGTTCCCTGAGCTGAGGATTGGGATATTTTCCCTGTAGTTGAATGTTAATTTCTTAGATTTGAAGAATCATATTCTATCCACTATCAATTAAGCAGACCAAACACTGAAATCTGTTTGTCCCAGGTAATCAGACTACTTTTGTTGTGCTGATCCCTTGCCAACCAAACCAATCCTCATTTTTTTTTAATTAAAGAACTCAAAATAACTCAAGATCATTTTAACATTAGAATTTCAAGCAGATGAATAAAAATGTTGACAAAGTCTTTGATTCTTCTATCATTATGGACAATCCGTAAAATGTTTTACGAAGGGGGGTCAGGGCTGATTTGGCTCAGATTTCAGGTTGGATAAATGAGGAAAGAGCTGGTTTTACAGGTATAGTACTCACTAACTGAATTTCAGGATTTAGGAATTGTTCTAGAGCTATACACTGTTGGAAAATATTTTAAACAGTTTTGATTGTGATTTTTCATATTTTCCCCTGATTTGAACTCGCCATTTTGGAAGAGCATAAAGTTATACCTGTGAATGAGATAAAACTCTATTTGCAACGGGAAGATGCACAAGAAAATCAGGCAACGGAAGTTTAATCCAAAATGTGGTTAGGCTTGGAATTTGATGATGTCATCTTGAGAACTTTGAATGGGTTTATCACTTGTACACAATCATACAAGTTGAAAGATTTTCTTGTCAGTTTGGAAACTAATGTTGTTCATATTTAGCAATCAAAGAAGATATTGAGTATTTGCAGACATGAAAGAAGATGAAGACTGTGTCTTGCATGTCAATAAAGGTCCACATTTCTTCGCTTCACCACTTTACAATTGTCGGGCCTTGAGTTCTGGGACTGGACTTGAAATGGGGACTTCAGAAAAAATTTACGCTAAGAAGCTGCTAAATAAGCACCTAGGACGGTAAAGTAGGATCAGAAATGTATTGGTTGAGATGTCTTGATGAAGTAAGTGGAGTGTGGACAGAAATCTCGTCGGTATAATTCTATTACGGGAGTTTCCATAGTCTAGCCCTTGTTGACTTTACTTCTAGCCAATAAATTAAGCCCGGGATTTTTTTGAAGCTTCAGCCACTGACCAATATCAAGAGTATTGTGGTGTTTATGATGGACAAGCTTCAGAATTGTATTACTGCATGAGCTTGACATATGATTTTATGCCCAGCTGAATTAACATGGTTACTGATTTGAGAATGCTAAGTAGCAAATATATATTTATGTCTTTTGGATTCTCTTTCTATTTGCTTTCTTGCCCTATCCTATTTCAAGTGATAATAATTGATGGCATTTTGATTCCAATTGGTTATTCCTTTTTTATAATTTTGCAATTTGACAGTTGGTTTAGCTGTGTAAGATTTGCCTATCCATTTGTTAGATTTAGGGAAAATAAGGATAGTGAGTTGAATCCATCTGTTGAATGGGCCGATTTAGATCAAAGTTAAAGAAGAATGGATAGCTGTCATCTAATTTGGCATGTTACCTTACACATGGAGTAGTGGTTCCTTGATGTGCCCTTTCATATGTGCTTGCCTGATCTCAATTTATCATCTATGCCAAGTAACGGGATTGTAAATTACTCTAGCAGTAATTTTTTCCCCTCCCCAGTCTCAAATAGACAACATCCAGAAAGTATTTTTGTGCATTGGGGAGGGTTTAGGTCTGTAGGTCAGATGGTGTTCGGGTGATATTACACAAGCAACAGCTTGATTTGAGGTGGAAATTGTGAGAAAAGAGACAAAGCAATCTTGAATAGGGAGGGATAATGCTATTATTCTTTAAAAGAAAGGGTACTCTGAAGTGTGTTGAATAAGCTTCTAACTTGGGTGGGTAAAGTTGGCATTTTGGGAACCATGGTGACTTCAGCCATGTACCTGTAGGACATGTTGTTGCTAAATTAGGAATAAACATTATTCAAAAGATAATATATAATATCCTATCAAAACTGATGGCGCAGACGGTTGTCTGCCAACAATATCTCTCTCCTATAAGAAAGGATAGGATTGCCTCTCCTCTTGGCACCCCCCCTCCCCAAAAAAAAAATAAAAATTCCCAGCACACAAATCCCAAAGCTTGTTGGAGTTAAGAATGCCTCCTAGGATGGATCTCTAATGTCTCAAAACTTGTCATGATATGCAACAATATATAAGATTCATATGTAACCATGGGGTTGCTAAATGTAATTTGTTTCAAGTCGCAGCCGGGAGCTGGAGACAAAGATATCTATATCCAGGTTTTGCTAAACAGTAAATTTGATATACACTGACAGTGTATCCAATTTGCTTAAACTTCGTGAGTTTGCTATATTGCTTTGCTTATCTTTTATTTATTGTACCAGCTTAGTAGCAGGTAGTCAAACCTAATATACTTGGTCATTACAAAGTTGCTAAAACATCTTAAATTCTCTTTAATTTTGATAAATCTGCATAGACATACCTCTGCTTTGTTTGTCATACTTATGACAGTCTCTCTGCTTGGTTTGAAAGTAACAACATATGAATTATTTGGCATGTTTTGTATGATAAGCTGAGATGCTAACAAATTGTACAGGTTAACGTTATACTTCAATCCTCCACTTGGTTTTTATTCTTTGCATGAGTTTGTTTTCAGGCTTCTTTATTTGAGTAAAGTTGCATTTCGCCTTGCACTTTCAAATTTTGAAGTGATGGTGCTTTGCTGTTGAAACATCTGTGCATAGCAATCCAAAAAAAAAAGATTTATTACCTTTCTTTGTTACTCATTTCACAGTAAATAGTGTGAATTTGAATGGGGGATGGGGATATTGCAGTGGATATTAGTGCATGGTCAAAAAAGGCTGAGACTTCTCCCAACACTACTATGGATGATAATCTAGTGTTTTTTTTCCATCAAAGTTCAAAAAGGAAATTGTTCAGAATTGAGTCAAGGTGGAATTCAGGGTGCCACATTGAAGACAAGTAGCAAATGACCAATGCTTGGCACTGACTTCAAAACATGGAATAACTTGTCATACATTAGTTTTTGTTGCTAATTTAGATAAGTGAAAAGGTAGGAAAAGTATGACAGGAAAATGGAATTGTCCTATTACAGATTAGGGGTATTTACAGGATGGATGTTTTAATTCATAAGTTAAAGAAAAAATGCAGAGGTTTTTATTTGGCTTACCAACATTTTTTTCGTTTTGGTGTGTGGGTGCGTTATGCACGAGCTTGCACACGCTCACGCACACACAAAATATATTAAAACTGCATGAGCTTGCACATGCTCAGGCACACACAAAAATATATTAAAACAGCATTGCTGAACGAAGTTCTAATCTCTGAAGCTGCAGTTGTTATGGTAAGAGAAAATTACCTCTAGGACTGAAAGGTAACAAAGAAAAAGATGCAAGTTTGTTTTACAACATAGTGTTCTTTGATGAGATTCTAGTTTTGATGGTTTTGTAGAATCGTTCATGTGGGAGTTTGGTTTGGACCTCTTCATACCATTTCTGAGTACTAATCTATCCACATACTTTGATTGACTTGTCCTTCCTTTGTCGTTGGGATCAATTTGTCTCTCATGAAATCTCAGTATTTGAAATCCTCCGTAATAGATCATCAATAAGCATGGGTGTTTTAGAGAATCAATGCTTGGTACTGTACTTAGCCACTGATTAATCCCATTTGCAGGATGAGAATGGTACGAGAAAGCTCCTGAATGTTTGAATACAAGGACTCTGGTTTGGCGTCTGTTTGGCAGCATCTATTCCCCCTTGGTTTTTGATCGAGAGTTCTTAATACCCAACTGGTTGTATGCAGCAGCAACATTTGTACAGTAATCATTGATAGCATTCTTTTCCAGGATAAAAAGTTTTCTGAGATAGTAGCTTCCGAGATTCATTGTGTAAAGCAGAACTCTGATGTCAAAAGTTTTGAGGCTATAGTAAAAGCTCTATTTGGGCTGCGGATGTGGATTTGTCAAAGATGTTCTTAAAATGTTTGTCAACTCCTTGGCTTGCCCTTATTATTCCTTTCAACTACTTCGGAATTAGATTTGCCTTTGGTACATTAGGTTCTGCTACTCTAAACAAATGGTAGTTTAGAGGCAAACACTTTGGTGGATCCGGTCTATGTCAACTCTGTGGCTCCAATTTTTCTACATTATCTCACCAACTCAAGAATTGACGGTGTGATAAAATTTGGACTATAAGGTCTACAAGATCAGATCAGGTCAACCAAGATTTTGCCAAAGATATTTAGATGGTCATTCAAGGCCAATTCTGATTTTGTATTCGGTGAAGGAAATTACGAAAAAGAATAACAAATTCTCCGTGTTTTATTATCAGCGCTAGGGAGCTGATTTCTCCTTTCTCCTTAAATCCTAACAGCCAAGCAAACGAAATTGAAATTTAAAAGAAAGAAAAAGGTCTGATTAAGACGTTTTAGAGAAAGGCAAGGGGCAGGTGAGCAGAAAGTAGAGGAGAGGAGGACATGCGCACGTAGTACTTTTCTTTGAGAGGAGAGCAGAGGGGGGGGGGGGGGGGGGGGCGTAAAATTGACAATTAATCAAATTCTCTCTCTCTGTTAAAAATTCAAAAATCCTTATGAAATTGAAGAACACCTCCATCCATTGTCTAAATCTTTGTTAAACAAACCTAAGAGAGTTTAAAAAAAAAGAAAAAACAAAACCTTGATTATAAAAAAATCTCATGAAATTCATAATATTTCCCATAAATTTTTAGAATCTAAACAAACCCACTTTAGATATATCAATCTATCAATCAAAATTTAAAATGGGTAGAAATGGCAAGTCTGGCATATCTCCATTTACAAATCATCTTCGTCTTTCTTTATCTTCTTCCTTGAAACTTTCTTCATCATCCCTCATCTTCTTCTCCAAAATCCCAAAAGGAGGAGGAAGAGAAGGTAAAGAAAGTTTCAGCGGAAAGTTTGGTGGCGATGGGGGAAGGGAAAAAGAAAGGGTAGAACGGTGTAGGAAGCTGGAGAAATGGGATTGGAGAGAGGTGTAGCTATGTAGGCTTGGTTGAGGAAATGGAGTGGCGATGGTAGAGTTGGTGGCCGTCGAGTTTTCCAATTGTGGGAATTAGAAGAAATGATCTAGTATGGCTCTTTACCGTCTTTTCTTTTTAGGATAATTCCAGAAACCTTCACTGAGGTTTTTGTTAGTTGCACTTGCCTCCCCTCAACTTCTGAAAATATCACTTAGCTCCCTTGGCTGTGAACTGGGACCCATTTCTAACATAAGCAGCTGCATAATGACTCTTATACCCTTAATATTTGCACTGAGTAACATAAGCAGCAATGCTTCCAATCGCGCCATAATCTGACAATTATGTATGATTGCAGATTAGTCTTGTCATGCTGTATTAGTCCTTGATTACCAATATCTTGATGTTGAAATTACAGGATGGGAACTCTTGCTACTCATGATATTATTGTCCACTACACGGGGAACAAAACTAGAATTTCCAATGCAGATCCTCAAAGATATTCTTACATGCAACTGTTGAATGATGTTGCTGAGCGGGCATTGAGTGATATGCCTAGGAATGTGAATCTATTGCTGCACATGAGATGTGGAATTCCAAAAGCTGTAGGTAGCATGGATATCATTGATGATCAATCTGTGAAGGAAATGTTCAAAGTTCATAAGAGTGAACTTGTAATCAATCTGTTTGTCCTTGACATGCACGTCTACTGTAACCCCAAATGTGTTTGAAAAGTTAAGAATGATAACACAAAAGTCATGAAGATGTGAGTTGATGATGGCTAGTGAGGATACTTTTGAAGTAGGCAATTTTGATAAGACTTGTATAGTCAAATTAGCTGATAGACATTATTGTGATTGTGGTGAATTCCAAGCATGCTGCATTAGGAGTGATGTACAAGAAGGAGACACTTGACAGCTACTGTGAGAAAGCTTTCTCAAAGGATCAGTACTTGAGGACCTACTCCTCAATGATCCATCCAGTTCTACATATTCAGCAATGGTTGTCTATGCCTGATGTGCTTCCAAAAACTGTTTTACCACCACCCCTTAGAAAAGCACTGGGTAGACCAAGAACAAATAGCAGAAGGGAAGCTGATAAAGGTGTTCCTTTTTCTCAGACAAAGAGATCAACTACTTTCAAGTGTTCCAACTGTAAGGCATTTGGTCATAACAGAAGGACATGCCAAGGAGCACCTGTGAATGCAAAGAATGGTAGCTCTACTTCTAGAAATCAGGTTAAAAGTGAACAATATTTATACAGATTACCATAGTTTTTAACGTGAAACTAAACTATTATGTGTTTTGATCATAGGGTAGTATTAGGAGGGCAAAACTAGGAAAGGACATTGCTAGCACTAGTTTAGCGGGATCTGTGCTTTGGGTAAGCGAGGTCAATATTGCATTTAAGTAAAGATTATGGCATTTTAAGTTTTTCTATCTCTCGAATTTTATTCATCCTAGGACCATGCACAAGGAAATGTTCCTGTTGTGGTTTCAAGTCAAGGAAGTAATCAAACTCCGCCAACTAATGTTACTGCTGTGAATGTTCGAGTGAATGTCAAGGCTACTGGAAGTGCTTCCAAGAGAAAGGTAAGTGGGATACAAAGCAATACAAATTATACTGAAATTCTTGTGCCATAGGATATAAGTTTCTTTTGTGTTTTCCAGAGAGGAAGAACTTCTCAAATGGCTAGTCCTTCTACTGCTAAAAGTTCCAAAAAAGGAAAGGGAAATGCTTTTGCGCGTGCACGACCAGTTTCTGCAACTAATACCAATTAGAATTCCCAGACTCAAGTCTCTATAAGCATTGAATCGGCTGCCAATATGGACAGTCAAAGCCTTACCAATAGTTTCAGCATGAGATCTGAGTAATCTTGAAAGCTACCTTTTCCAGCTGATCGAATTATTACATATGATAGCACTATTAACTCTTATCATATTACTTACTAAAACTCAATGTAACTCTTTGTTGAGTGGTGCTTCGTGGATGTCATCTCAAATTTGCTGCCCACTCATTACTTTTGGACATGCATTTGGAACTATGTTAGCAGTTTGCAATCCTCACCATCTAATTGTAGTAGTAAACTTAGATGGTGTTTTGTGCAAGTTTGGATTGCAACAGCTAGTACTTATCATATGATGTTGCATTTTGGTTTTGCACTAAATATGCTGTAGCTTCTTATTTACTTTTGACCAATGTTTTGAAACTCAAACCGACCATCGACTAGGTCGAAGTTAGGGGTCAGGGTCGAACCCATCCAAGAACCAGATGACGGGCCTGTTTGGAAGCTAGTTTTTTGGACAAGTTTTTTACCTACATGTTTTTTAACAACTTTTGCTACAGGAACCCCAAAAAACCTTCTCAAAGTTTTTTACCTGCACACTTCAAAATACCCAAAACACAAAAAATAAAAATAAAAAAATTCAACACAATAAAAATTCCCTTCCCTTTTTTTCTTCTTCCACCCCCATCCCAACCCACCACCACCGCTGGTGTCGACCACCACCACCGTTTCGTCCCTGGCTTGTTGATGGCTATGGAGGTGGCGGGGCAAAGAGGGAAGGGGCAGAGGTGGTGGCGGGGGTAACGGGGGTTGGCGGGGCAGAGGGGGAAGAGGGGAGGGGAGTGGCGGGGTTGAGGGAGAAGGCGGGGGTAACGGTGGCGGGGCAGAGGGGGAAGGAGGGGCAGAGCGGGAGGGGGTGCGCGGGGCTGAGGGAGAAGGCGGGGGGAGAGGGGTGGCGGGGTTGAGGGGAAAGGCGGAGAAGGCGGGGGGAGGGGGTGGCGGAGGTAACGGGGAAGAAGAAGAAGAAGAAGAAGAAAGAAAAGAAAAAGGAAAGAAAGAAAAAGAAAAAGAAAGAGGAAGAGAAAAGGAAAAAAAATTTCACCTTACAAAAGCTTCTACAAAATTTTTCTACTTACAAAAATTTCTACAAAATTTTTTCAAAAACTTCTACAGTACACTATAGTAAAGTTTTAGACAAACTCCCAAAAAACTCAGATTCCAAACAGGCCCGACGTCATCATGATGTTGTAATTATATTTAATTTTAAAAATTAATATATTATGTAAATTTTCTAAAAGGATATTAATACTAAGAAATGTATGTTCAATGTATGTTTGATGTTTCTAAAATACTTTACAAGAAAATACAAATAAGGTAGTATAATTAAGTAGCAATTTATGCAATTTACAAATTAATGCATATTCAACAAGTTTAGAACTAAATTGGAGGGCTTGTTTGAAAAATACTACAAGAATTTAGGGCTATAGATATACGTTCTAAAATGTTTCTAGGTGTAATAATAGTTTTCTAGTACTCTAGGGATCAAATAATAAAATTCTAGGTGAATTTTTTACTTTCTTTTTTTTTTTAATGTTTTATCCCTTTTTTAACTTAGATCTTCCATTAGAGTTGTTTGAGAGAGATTTATCGTAGGATATGTGAAGAGATTTGAGAGTAGTTAAAAGAAAGAATAAAAAAAGGTAAAAAAAAGAAAATGTGAAAAAAAAATAACCCTATTCGAAGGGATTCTTCCGGTTTTCGGTCAAACCCGATTTTCGACCAAGTTTGACCGAATTTTTGTTTCACGGTTTTTTAAAACAACTCAGACCGAATGCCTACTCGATTCCCAGTTCAACCGGTTGAACCGACCAGTTCGATCCGAGTTTCAAAACAAAGCTTTTGACTACTTCTAGTTTTGTTGATATTTAAATTCGTCATGCATTACTCATTTTGCATTGAATCGCATTCTTGGATGACAATGGTAATAGCTGCGTTGAATCACCATTCTTAAAGCGGTACAAATTTTTGGATGACAAATTTCACATACTTCTTCAATTTTCACAAACACCCCACACTTCTCGCTTTTGTATCCCGACCACCCAATTACTTAAACATTTATTAAAATAACATTTTGTAGGAAATAAAAAGGGTATTTCTGCAATTAAAATTCTTTCTCTCTCTTGATACTAGTATTTTAATCCACCTTTTTCTGATTTGGGCTAACAAGTTACTTAAGTTTCTCAAATAAGAGAGGTTAGTGATATTTCCAAATGTTAAGGGGAGGCAAGTGCAATTGATAAAAAATCTCAGGGGAGGTTTTATGAAATTATCCCTTCTTTTTAACTAAAAAACTTGATATTTGCACATGAGTTACTCATAAAAACAGGATAAAAAAATATTTGAACATGTGATGTGTCTGTCGCTATTTTGGGCAAAAATACGATTAAAAATGTGATTGACCGAACGAGTAGATTTTAGATTTATGAGGGACTAAAATGCTTTATTTTAATCTAACTCCACACACAGTGATACTCATATTCTATATGTTTATATATATATACACACACACACGAGAGAATTGTAATTTTGGTTCTAAATATTTAAGGCACGAGAGGTTTTTATCCATAAAGTTTGGATGAAAGTAAATGTTATCTCAAATGTTTCAATTTCTAAATGCATTTAGTCTTATTCACTAATTTTTGCTAATTGCTACGTGTCCTATATCATATGCCAACAACAACTAAATTTCTAGAAAAAAACTGAAAACAAGAAAAAATGGATTGTTAGCCATAATCCATAATAAAAAAATAACTAATTACTCACACGCTAATGTATTGAGTAACAGTCTTTATCCCATAATAAAAAAATTGATTGATAAAAAAAAAAATCTAGGTTACATAGCAAGTGGGTAATTAGTCCTCTTTTTTATTTTAAATTTTTTTTTTTCAAAAAATTACTTGCCGACACTAATGATACATTATAAATTCTAATAGCAATTGGCAAAAATTAGTCAATGAGATTAAATGTACTTAGAAATTGAAAATTTTGGAACTACATTTGTCTCATCCAAATTTTTGGGATTAAAACTTTTCATGCTTTCAACATTTGAGACAAAAACTACAATTCTCTCATTTGTAACTTCGTTTATATAGTAAAACTTCTATAAATCAGTATTTGATAAATTAGTAACTTCTATTAAATAATAATTTATCTGGTTCCGACTTGGGCTAACAAGCCAAATTAATAATTTTAATAAAACAACAATATAATAAATTTTTTTGAAAACCTTACCTAACCCGTTGGTTCCCTTCAAATATTAAATCAATAATTCATTAAAATTACATTTATTTTTTTTTCTAAAATATGAATCTATTATTATTTGTTTTTCAAAATCCATTGCTGCTATTATTTTTGAGTGCATATGTGATGCTCTCTATTAGACTCACATAATGCCTTATGCATTTGAGCATTATACACGTAGTCAATCATGGTCGATTTATGAGCACTTTTTAAATGGGAAGCCATAATTGTTACCAATGAGATTTTAAATAGAAAGTCATAATTGTTAGTGCAATGAGATATGTAAGAAAACTTTCTTGTCATTTATAAACATAATATTGTTAATTTGATTCATTGCATGTATTTATTAAAATAGAAGCAAACATTTATTATTTGTTATTTCTAAATAGAGGAAATTGCAGCTTATCACTTTAGCAACGTTTCAAGCATACCAATGATTTGAGAACGGACAAACTCAACTTCCTTTTATATTCAGAATTTCAGCAATTTGGTCACAACCGGCTCACGATCAAATGAAGAGCCAAGCGCCAGTGCACAAAGCACTATATTTGGGCCGCTCAAGTGAGACTCTATGCATCGCTAAGAAAGTAGACATATAAACCAACGTCCCTGAAGCAGGACAATAAAGTAAAATCACACCACGACGCCTGCTATATACCTAATACAATCAAGCAATTTCAACACCTTCCAACTCCTTTCATTTAATTTTGACCAAAAAAAAAAGGGATAATTTCAGAAACCTCCCCTGAGGTTTCTGACATTTACACTTACCTCCCCTGTGGTTTGAACAATTACACTGACCTCCCCTGAGGTTACTAATTCTTTACAAATTCAGTCCAAATGATTAAAATATTATTTTAGAGAGTGAAATTAGAATTTTGTACATGATTTGTCCTTTGTACCGCATGTCCAATGAATGGCAAAGTATTACAAATTAATTAACAATTAATAAACTTTAACGAGCGTAGTTTATAGGCAAATACGTATTGCCTATTTAAAGTACCAACTCTTTACATGTATTTTACTTTCAAACATTTACTTTATCACAAATATTTATTCTCAAATACAGATTTGTATTTACTCTCAAATATTTAATTTTTGTTAAATACAAAACCTACCAGTTTTTCTTCCGTAGAAATATTAATATAACATTTTTTTAATTTTAGTTACAAATATTTATGTATTTAACATAAATTAAATGATTCAGAATAAAATACTCATAAAGAACTAATACTTTACTCATGTAATGGATGAAAGCCATAAAAAATTAACATTTTATAGGCCATTTCTTTCTTTTTTTAAAAAAAAATTTAATTTATATTAAATAGATAACCTATCAATTTTCTTTTTGCAAGAATATTATTGTAACACCTTTCATTTTTAATTAAAAATATTTATATATTTATTATAAATTAAATATTTAAAAATAAAATACCTGTAAAGAGCCGATACTTTAAATAAGTTATGCGTATTTGCCTATAAACTACGCTCCTTACTTAAATCAATAAACTACACTCCTTAACTTAAATCAATAAACTATACTCCTTACTTTAAATAGTATAGTTTATAGGCAAATACGCATATTCTATTTAAAGTATAGGCTCTTTACAGATATTTTATTTTTAAATATTTAATTTATGATAAATATATTAACATTTGTAATTAAAAATTAAAAAGTGTTACAGTAATATTCTTGCAAAAAAAATCAGTAGGTTATCTATTTAATATAAATTAAATATTTTTTAAAAAATAAATGGC